GTTCATCCTCCTGTTATCGGCTGGCTTTGTAAACGACGGGCGGAGGATAGGCCTAAGTCTGCAGTGGGCAAGAATTTATCGGTTTGCCGAGGAGATAGTGGACGTGGACGCAATTACAGTGTTTTTCACTTCAGTTAGACAATTTTTCACTTGACTAAGACACCGATGCGAGGGGTATTCAGAGAGGAGGCGAGGGCGCAGGTGTCCCTGGTGACTAACGACATCCTTCTCTTCCTCGAATATTTAGGCTTTTTCATATGAATCAAACTATGTACTGGAAACGATGAACCGTATGCATAGCCATGTTGTCAACGGGAGACCTTCCTTGCAGTCTAATTAAATAAAAAGTCTCCAAGTTTTCAATTTCTCATCGGCTCAACGATGTAGAAACACTGGATCGGACTTCGATGGACAATTCCAGGTCCACGTTAGTTAGGCCTAATCTAGCCTACGTGAGTTCTGCGTGGGGAATGATACTTCAGAAACCAGGAACGATGCCCAAAACTTCACTTGTTTTATTAAAATATTAAGGAAAGCAGTAATGGGTGACACGAAAGCCTAGTTTTTCACTACGACATTAAATTATCATTTCAATATATTGTGTATTTGGGAAGGTTCATATTGATTCTCCTCTCTTTAGCAGGAAATTAACCATCATTGTTGTTGCCAATGTCATCATGACATCTGTACTTAAGAATGGAACTCCTAGTTTCTGCGCTGATCTGCCATATCACCCTCACCATGCACCGTTGTTGAAGTCAAGTGAAAAAATGCCTAACTCAAGTGAAAAACACTGTAATATGCCAGGGCTGCTCGCCGTATGTCATTATTCCATGGACTATTGACCACCAATGCCGACTTCACAAAAATAATTTTTAAAATACCCTATGTACATATTTGGTGTGAAGCTTTTCAAGGGATTCTTTCACTTAACACCGACCACACCCTTTTCTGCCTGTCTGAGCGACTTGAGTGTGATGATCAGTGATCCTCTTAAGAGATCAATGATGGCCCAGAATATACCAGGATAAAAGCAGTGATTTTCTATGAGTTAGACAATTTTTCACTTGTCTTAAACACTGGTGCATGGGATGTTCCTTATGTGCAAGTGTCTGTGAGGAAAAAGGTCCAACTCATGTAAAAATACTGTAATGGTTTGGCAGGCCTTGACAGTTTAAGGCAGCATTTAAATTTCTCATATTGTCAGAAATAGAATCCTATGGACTTGTGAGTTGAACATGGAAGACATCTCCCTACTCTTTCTTTTTTTAAGGGGCCCTTGCTCTTCTAAAGCTTGTTATAGGATGTGACAGCTATCTCTTTATTGCATACTTAACCAGTTACTATAAATGTTTTTGAATGTTTCAATTTTTTCAAGTCTGCCAGTTGCATTGTTTGATGAAGCTTTTCAATTTGAACGAGAAGAAAACACCTCATTTACCATGGTGTATAGGTAGCAGGGAAAAAAAAGTTTCATCCGAGTATGGGAACTTTCAACAAAAGGCAAGCCTAATCTAATCTGGTGGTGGTGGGAGAGGCTCATTTAGCTTGTGCTAAAATAATAACCTGAATCTACAAGGACCCATGTGCTGAAAGAATATTTTAACTGGTCTCCTTCCTGGCATTTTCCATTTTCCATTTGAGTAGTTGCAATGCAAAGAAAAGGAAGGGAAAAGCAATTGTAATGAAAAGTAAAGGAAGATAAGAGCAAATGCCATAAGTCTATTTACACCTTTGGTCTATGTGGAGTTGTGCCTGTGTGGTGAGCATAGCTAATTTTGGCTTCAATTTGTCCAAGTGTCTGTATTTTTCATTAATAGGGGGCCTCATTGATGTGAGCTATGGTGTAACATTTCTAATCTTTGCTACTATTTGATAAAGAAAGTTCTTAAGTTTGGATTGCACCATGAAGTTGTTTTGATTGCATTTTCTACTTTGGTTACTTTGAATAAGAATATAAAAATGTATTGACAAAAATATGCCCTGTAAGAGAATTAGGTGCACTAGTTTGACATTTCTAGGAACATCATTGCATATCTATAAGAATTGGCCCTTAAGCATTGGGTGACATAGGCCTAACTTTGGAAGGCCAAGGCTAATCTCATACCTTCTTTTAGGCCTAGTGGTAGCCTAGGCCTAGGCCCAGACTGTCTGTAATCCCTGGAACTTCTTGTGATGTTTGTCACTTTGGATGAATCTCCTCTCAGTGATTAACTTTGCTTGGGCAAATGTCAGCTGAACAAATTATTGCTACAAATATTTTATGCATAACTCTGCAATCCAGGAAAAGTCTTTCCCAGTCAGGGACATTGATTTGCATTGAAGTTGTGTCTCCTAGAACTACTTACTTAGTCTCCTTTGACATTATCTTACTATATTCACCAGGGACCTGTTGTTCTTGATGGTTCTAGACCTAGAAGCTTATGCCCAAATGCTGAACATTAATTTGAACATTAACAAAGGGGTTTAAGGGCTCTGCATCCCTCTGTGGGGGATACAGGGCCCTTTAACTTTTAACCCCCTTTATATCCCCTAAATGAATTTTCTGCATTCAAGCTTTAGTTTGGATTTATATCAGAAGTGATGTTACATTTAAATGGGAACCCAGAAGGTATTTTTGGAGCATGCAATATTGGGGGGGGGGGGGGGGGTGAGCCTCATGGACTAGAGGCATGGTCACAATTTCCAAGCTGTATTATGCTAAAACCTTACTTTTAAATGCCAGTTCTAATCTCAACATATAATTATTTATTGTGTAGTGTTATATCCCCTTTCATGTATGTCTTTTGGGTCGCTCAAGTGAAGGAGCATAATGCTAATTTCTGTCAATTATTTCATATTTTGCTAACTTTTTTTGAAGTTTGAAGTTTTCTTATGATTGATTGCCACCTTGAAACTTACTCATACCATGTTCTCTTCTTTTTTTTTTTTAAGGGAAGGATTTGATTTAGTTATTTAAGGAAATGAAAAATGTGGTTAGAATGTGACTAACATGGGAACAATGGAAGATCAAGAAACACAGGAACTTCCAGAGAGAGGCCGAGGAAGAGGAAGACAACCAAGGAGAGGGCAAGTGGGAAGAGGGAGAGGTACCAGAAATACAACACATTTTGGACCCTCTCAGAGCTCAGGTCATCCAAGTAGCTCTAGAGCTGGTGTTCACAGTCATGGAGACTATCATGGACCACACAGGGGTGGCAGCCATTTCCCCACCCATTTTTATGATCACCCTAGTTCTTGGAATGATGGATATCACCAAGGACCTCAAATGAATAGCTCCCAGTATGATCCTCATATGAATGATCAATCTAACATCTGCAGTGGTGGGTATTATTGTGATTCCAATGTTGCTGGAGAACACTCACAAGAATTTGAGGGACATGGTCAGTGGAGCAGAGGTAGGGGATGGGGTAGGGGGACAAGGGGCATGGGAAGAAATCAAAGTGGCTTTCCTCATCCTATGAACTTCTTTGATGGCAAACAAATAAGCACCACATCTGAATTCCCTTCCTCTGGTTCAAGGGGGTTCCCTTCGTTCAGAGGACGAGGCAGATATCCCAATGCTTATTGTGGTGGTGCTCATGGTGGTGAGCCATGGAGTAGTGGAGAAACAGGCTTTCAGAGTCATCATTCTGGTGTACCATGGCAGGGTGATAGTGGATTTCATCCTCCTCCCAATCATGGCCTTTTACACAATCCCCACCATCATAATCCACCATTAAATTGGGCACCCCCAGATGGGCAGCAAAATTGGGATCCTTTTCCACCAAGTGCATGTTCCTGTTGTTCTGAGGGAGGATATGGTGAAGGCCATAATCGTGGAAGGAGCCACTGGCATCGCGGGCCCGATGTCCATGAAGGGAGGCGACGCAGAGGGCGTTTCCACCACCATCAGCATTTCTCACCTCGTCCTCATCACCCTCCCAGAGGGGGCCACACTAGCAGTCGTAGTAGCCATCAATCTGCTCATTCGCATACATCCGATGATTCTATGTCAAGAAAAAGTGAGTCGGATTTGTATTTAATCTGATTGTTTCATTGCAACTTATTTATCCTACTTGGGAACCCCCCGCTGTCGCTTTCAGCTGGTATCGCGTCTTCGTTTCTCTACTTGCCAAGTAGCTCGTCTCATGGTGCATGCCTCTAGCCAGGAAAATTCATTAACTGGGCGGGCTCATTGATTTATCGCATTGGGTGCACGCACTAACCAATCTCGAAGATTTTAAAATGCAATTTGGGGACAGAAAAATCGTTTGAAGAAACTTCATCGGGAGTATGTCGTGGGTACGCTTCACATTCATTGTGAAAAAGCTCGAGGACGAATGAAAAATACGAGCACATGGCATCGGCTTCTGCAGACAGACACGGCCTCTGAATACTGGAAGTTCTCGAGAGGGGGACCCTGGACAGATAGGGCGAAACTGTGCATCGATTTCAAACGATTTCTCAGTTTTGTTTAAATGCGCTTCCGGATAAATAAGTTTCGTTCGTAATATGTGATTAACAGAAAAGGCTATCACAGTAACCTCACTCTTGAGATAATGAACTCGCTCTCGTTCATCGGGCCAACTCATGGAAAACCGTGGGTGAGAGACTGATGGACAGAGAGCGAAATTAACCCTTTGAAGGATAACGTGCCGAATAGGGTTCGTATGCGTCGAAGGCGTTGCTGAGCGTCGTGTCTCATACGGATTTCGGAAGTTCGGTCTCGCCCGAATAACGTGCCGTGTGCGATACGGTCAGGGGAGCAGCTGGTGGTGTGTTTGCGCGGGTACCACACGTTGAAGGGCTACTAATTCTATAGCGTTTTTGTTTTATCCTTCGTTCCACTGGAATATAATGTATTGCTTTCTCTGAACACCGGCATTTCCGTAAAAGAGCGCAGCGCAGATGATCCGGAAACTCGTTATGTACGTCTGTCGCACGCAACAGAACCAGCTCTCGAAGGAGTTAAGGGTTTCTAGCTTCAGCTTTCAAGAGGAAGAGAAAAACGTGAAAACATGCAGAGGTGGGTTCCCGATTGGGATTGGGGTGGAGTTTCGCGCTGATGCTATGAATTTCCACTGCCCACAATTTGGACTACTTTTAGTTTTTTTTTCTCTCTTTTCAGGCGATTCATCACAGAGGACAGATGTACCTATGAAAGTGAGTAGACCTGCAAATATTCCTTTCTTGATGAAAAGGGGTCATCTGTCATGAATTTTCTATTTCAGTTCATGGTAGATTCACTGATTTTTATGAAAGCTTCAGACACAAAACTTGAGCATTTGAGTGTGATTAATTGAATCAACAGGCCATGGTTTCCTGAATTTGAATGTTTGCATTAACTGGCTTCTCATTGAAATTTGTTGTGACTTTTTGCATTGGTTATACATCATCTTTCTTTGTCATCTCTTTAATTAAAGAAGTGGTGGTCATTTCCAGTCTCATAATATTGCTTTTACAAGTTCTTAGCTTCCTCTACTAAAAAATTCATTTCTTGGAGGATACTGTTGGTGTTGGCTTCATCTTAAGACTATTTCACTGGACTGTCATTAAGCAAATTTCCAGCCAAATTATGAAGGGAAGTAGTACATGGACAGATTCAGATTAAAGGGATTGAGAAGCTTATTTTATCTTTTGCTGCCAATGTTCCATTCATGATGTATTGATGGATATAGTTGGAGAACAGCAGTTTTCCTGCTGGCTGTTCTCCATTCTTATATGTGATGTGGGGGGGGGGGGGACTGCTAATTACATGTTTTAAGCACAACTATGTTAGAATCAACTCTTTCCTCTGTTTCATCCTAGGATGAAGGCCTTTACTCTTCCTTTCATAACCTGTTTCAGGAGTTCTTATCACTGAACTTCGACGTAGAATCACTAAACAGACGACTGTACGTACAGAGTTTCTTAATAGAGACGTTCAACGAATTCCCATCACTTTTCTTCTGCATCTCTGAAGACCGGTCAATTGTATCACTCAATGTTGAGCTGAAGATTTGCCTTCCATATGTCATGCCAAATGGTTGCAACCAGGAAGGATGTACCCTACTTCACATCTGTCCAAAATTTATAGATGACAACTGTATGGAGAAAACCTGTGAGGAAGGACATGATTTTAAAACTGAACACAACATTCGTGCCTTGAAGAAATATGACCTTTTGGATGCAAACATAGAAGCCTTGAAGAAACTGACCATATCATCTTTTGATGTTGGGAAGGTGCCTGATATATGTGGCTCTTATAATGTCAATAAGTGCAATACTGGAAAGCAATGTGATAAGATTCATATTTGCATTGGTTACATTATGGGAACCTGTTGTGATGAGTTGAAATGCAGCATGAATCATGATCTTCTTGAACCTGAAAATTGTAAAAAATTCGAACTTTTACGACCACAACGTGAACTCGCGTGAGGTTTCCTGAACTCCTTAGTGAACTTCTCTCGTACCGTCCGTCTATCCGTCAATGTCCGTCACTATCTGTACTTCCGGTTTCTGTTCCTCCTCCAGGAAAGAGAGAGAAAGAAGGCAGAAGAAGCCAAGAAGAAAGTTTATCATGCCAATGAGGATGATGGGAATGTGGAAGTCCCAGAGGTGTGCATATTCCTTTTGAGTGGGCGTTGCTATGATGGGGAGAAGGGTCGCTGTAAGCGTCTTCATGCTGCGAACTCTTTCCATTGGCAAGTTCAGCATCCCAAATCATTTAAGTGGGTGAATTTAAGCAAGTCTCAGAGCGAGAATCTTGAGCACCTGTATGTTGACCCCAATGTAGACAAATCTACTTTAAAGGATTTTGCACCAGATGAAATTCACTTGACAAATAGAGTTCAACTCCAGAGTCTTTTCAAAAATCAGGAATATAAGGCTGATTTTGGGAAGATGACGCTATTAGATGTCAAAGCCAATGTCTCCATGAATATGCGAAGACTCTGTACAGAATCCTCGGTGATGACTGGAGGGAAACAGTTTGCAACTAAGTGAGTTCTTGTACTAACAGTTTCTCCCCTTATTTATATATTTGCTTGATTTTTCAATCATCTTACATGGGAAAATTGAGTTGACATTGGTATTGAACTTAAGATTCAATGAGTTTATTGAATTATATATAGAAAGGTGGCTGTTGAAAAATTATAATTTAATTGCAAGGAAATTTAACTGCTTTGATACTATGATACTCTGTAACATTTGCGAATTTTGATATAGACCTCAAAATACTTCAGTTAAAGCCAAATATTTCATTTATAAAAATTACAAGGTCATTTGTGGCTTTAGGTCTTCAGTTGTTACCACTCCCTCATTTCAAGTTAGAAAGATTGCATTTCCCATCTCTAAATGTAAACCTGATGCATATATGACATGAAATGGATCTTACATGTGTTCATGTTGTAATTACGACATGCAACCTGAAGAAAATGGACTGAGTACTGCTGCTAGCACCAAGAAGAATTTTAAAAAGTAACTGTTCACCTTCTAGTCCAGTCAGTATTTTTGGATGTTTCTTGAATGACTGGAGTGCAACCCAAAGCTAACAGTACAGATTCAGTACAGAACTGGATGAGACTACTTTTCAACTAAACCCTGCATCAAGGATTAACTGTGTACCTCACTGCTTTATGTATGTGTCATGATCCTGAGGACTAGGTTTTGCACTGGCCATTGGGAGATGGAATTAGCCAGGCTGCAGTAGCCCACTTTTATGTAACGTTGAAGACAATGTTGATTTAGAAAGCACCTATGGGAGGCAGGCATACCTGACTCAGTGAAATCCCTTTTCTACCCGTGATCAAGAGGTATTGAGGAAAACCTTTTAGGTTGAGTTGGATGGACATGTGACTATTCACCTCGACCTGGCCTTAGTTTATCAATCAGTATATCAGTGTTATATGCTGTTCCAGCCTATTACCAACAAATGTTGACATCCTTTCATTAATATTTCCTAGATAATGTTTTATTCATTTTTGAAATGGGAAGTGCTGTGTTACATTCAGGTTCTTCTCAATGTTACTCCGATTTTCATGCACACCAATCGATACCTCACCAAGACCAACATATTTAGTCATTTTTATTTCCTCTTGAGACCCCTTGCCCAATACATTATTTTTGGAGAAAACCATTAAGACAATTTTTAATTTGTTACATATGAGGTTTTCGTGCAATTAAAAGAATGTGTGGCACGAGAAAATTTTGAATACCAATTGGTATCATGGCAACTACCAAATGAGGGAAGCTCCACTCAAGTAAGATACTCAACTGTTAACATAACTGTCTAGTCTTGAAAAAATTTGACCTTCTGTAGACTGATGCAGAAGCTTGAAGTATTTTTGAACATTAGTTGGCTTAATTACTTTTTAAATTTAATTAAATATTTAACTAATGTTTTTCTGGCAATTTATATTATATTTTTCATTTTTCAAAAATGTTTATTTAACAAAAATTAATTCTTCTGAAGACCCAAACCCACCTGGACTCTAGGTAAGACAAGGAAATATTGTGCACTCACCTTTAGTAATTCAACGTTACAAATGCTTGCAGGTGGCTGTGGTACTTCAAGGACCGGAGTGACATATGGATGGAATATGGTTCTGCAACCCCTGAGCACAGCAGTAAGAGCAGTGTGAACTCTCATGGAATAGAGGGAGCTTTTTGCACTTCTCAGGGGAAAGGGACTTTGCCCTTCTTTACTGCTGAATACAGTTATGAAATTGACTTCCAGAGGATGGTGCAAAAGAACAAAGATGTAAGTTTTTCTCCTCTATCCTAGTTTCAAAAATCATCCCTGACTATCATACACTTCAATTGGAACTACTTTGAGCAGATATGCCCTACAAATATGAGCCTAATGTGGGGCTATTTTATTATTTAAAAATCAGTTCAAAACCCCAAAGGAAGAAATCCTTCTTGGAGTTTTTAGCTTCAGTCATATATGATGACTGTGAGGAAGTCCTGAAACCTGCAAGTTTGGAAGTTCTTGCCTTTTTCCTTTTACTCACCAGACTGATTGCTACTGTGCTACATAGATCATTTTAGAAACAATACAAATGGCTTAATGATCAGTATTTGCAAAACTATTCTGTCATCTGATATGATGGGGCCTCTCTTTTTTCCTATTTGCTCTGCTAGCTCTGCTGAGTCCTCCAGAATCCCATGATGTCATGTTAGGGTTGAGCTGCTCAGCACTCTCATAGTTAGCTATTTTCCCCTGCCAGCTGCTTGCCCAAGAGTGACATCATTTAATGGTGTGGTCATGTCTAGTGCTGATGAAAAGAGCATCTTTTTTGCTGCAAACTGCTGGAGAAAAAGACCTGCATGATGTCTCAAAGAAGCAAGGAGGACAGGAGAGTTTGCCTGGGCCATGACTTAGTCAAATTAGTCACACATTTGATCTTGATTGAAGCCTCTGGCCTTATTCTCAAGCCTCATCTCCAAGAATATAGGTCTCCACAAATGACTTTAAAAAACCAAAAATAGTGAGAAAAAGGGACTTATTGTCCATGAATAATTCTGTATCAAGGAATGATGAAAGAACATGATTAGCAAGGAAATTAAACTTCAAATTTTCAGAAATTCTTGTTTTTTATTACATAACTCTCTTCAGATTCCATGACAAAGGGCAACACCTGGGCAGCTACTACATGATGAACCCATTTTCAAATAAAGTATTTTTTTTCTATGGAGGAAAATGCAGAAATTCACAGCCAACCATCACAGGTTTACCTGCATGCTTAGTAGCTGATGGCTTAAAAAATCTATTTTAAGTATATGGCTACTTTGAGTGGAAATTTCAGAAAAGGGGACTTAAAGTCAGTCTATGAAATATCTGTACCTATCAAGCACTTGGATAATGTACAGTAGTGGAAAATTCATCATGTTCATGTTATAAAGCAACAGTATTCAAGAGCCGCAAAAACAACTGTGTAAACTTTTCTGAATAGGCTGAGTAACAGTGGTACTTCATTTATTAAATATTTTAAAGAATAGAAAAAATATGTTTTGGAGAAAATGAAAGTTAAAGGACATTGACCTTCATCAGATGATGACTCAAGTGTTTCAGGAATGAGTGCAACATCTATAGCTGACAAAGAGTTATTTGAGAGCTTTCAGATGAGCTAATTAACATTATTGTAGCTGAAATAGTTTCTGAGGTATTAGGAATTTTAAGCTGCAAGGGCATCAATGCACCACACAAAGGCCAAAACTTTTGTTACCTCTTTTCTTGAAATCCTCTCAAAGGATGAGCACAGAACATATTGGCAGAGGTTTGTTTTTCTGTGGTGGCATGCAGTATGACAAATTTTATCTGGATTTGTGAGGTGTGACCCCCACAGATATTGAGACATTTCAGATGGAATGATCCAGTGCTATTTTTTCTTTCAGCCAAGGTATGGCACAGAGAGGGAGGTGAAACGTCGCCCTGCCCCCCTAACTTCTGGAATATCAGAGGTTTCCCCTGCAAGTTACAGGCACACTCCAAAGCACTGGGATCCAATGCAAAACACAAATTGCAAGATGGTCAACATATCTCCATCATCCCCGGAGTACAAAAATGTTGTTGGCCTCCTACATAGCACTGGAGTAACTATTCAAAAAGTAACCAGGATTCAGAATCCATACTTATGGGAGATGTATCAGAATAAGAGGCTCATCTTGCTCAATACTGATTTCAAAGGCGATGAATCAAAGTTGAATGAGAAGAACCTTTTCCATGGCACATCCATTGCTAACGTTCAATCCATATGTGAGCAGAACTTTGACTGGAGGTTACATGGAAGTGCCCATGGATCTGTATATGGCCAAGGAGTATACTTCGCCACTGACCCAAAATTGTCTATGCAATATACTCGAGGGAATTGCATGTTTGTTGCCAAGGTTCTTATTGGCTCGTCCACACAAGGACAATCTGGTATGACGCGACCACCTGCAGGTTATCATTCCACTAGTGGGCCAAATATGATAATTAAGTATCATGATCAGGATTTCTACCCAGAATATGTTGTGGAGTATTGATGATTGCAAGTGGAAGTATGGCAGGTATGGTATTTGATTCATGATGGGTAATTCTCATCCTAAGTTGGCTTTGCAATGAGAGCCCAGTAAATCAATCATACAAAGGGAAGAGATATCATCAGTAAAAAATATATTTTCTCAACTCTGTTTTTGTGCCTTACTCAAGTGCTTTCTATCCATTTCCAGTTGTTTTTTTTTTTTTTAGCAAGTTAATGTTCAGGGCAACTTTTTTGCCTGATATAGACATGATATGGGTGATGTTTGGTGAAAATGCAAATTAATTCCTTTGAAAGTTCTTCTAAAAAAATGGAGAAAAATATTCAGAAAAATAAATCCAGTACTACCTGGCAACTAATTCAGCCCATAAAGTTGGTATTTGAACCCCATTCTGGTGTCAAATGCTGCTGTCCATGCTTAATTCCTTTAATGCTACAACTAGAGAGTAAAATTTTTCTACGTTGACAATAACTTTTAATTCTTTATGGGCCATATAAATAGCTCATTCATAGCTATTTTCCATATATCATCTATGTCATAGCTCTTTTCCTTGTTATCCATTTCCAGCTAACCAGGAGGTGGACTTGATAACATAATATCTCTATTAGAGAATTAAGGTTAAATGGAGGTATGTAATTTCATGAGTGAGTCTTATGTGCAGAAGGTTTGAGTTATCTATGAGGCCAGGCAGCATAATCTTTATATTGGTCACACATTGATATGGATCATTGATATAATTGATTTCCATTTGCTGTGTGCTTTAGGGCAGATACAGTTGCATTTCAATTCCTTCATGAATTATTGTTGGTTTTATGCAGAAAGATATGGAATTTGTGATCACATGGATGAGGTATGTTTTTATGAAAGTACTGAATTTGTCTAGTCCTTATGCATTGTGGAAGAAAAATTATGTTATGACTGTGATGCTGCTTTACACTTTATCCACAATCCTGCCATAAAAAATATCATCTCAGCTAATCCAGTGCCAGCATATGTTCTGTTATTACCTAGTCAAAAATTCCATCTGGAACCATTACATCTACCTAAATGTCCTAAAACCAGCTGGTTTTAAGCTTATCCCATCTGTGACAGTCCCAAATGACCTATGCATAGTTCCAACTGGTATGAAGAAGGAATCAGAAGGTGGATCCAATTAGTATACATATGGGATAAGCAGATGGTTCCAGTTGGTATGCTAGTATGGAATTGGAAATTATGTCTAACTGGAATGAATATGAAATACAACTCAATACTAGTGGTTTGTTGGTGTTTTAAATATTAGTGCTCATGGATTCAAGCTGGCAGGGAAGTGAAACATTCCATCTCATTTCAGGTAGGTGTCTAGTTTCCAAAGTTCCACAGTTCCAAAGTGTCAAAAATTGCCTCTGATGTAACAATTACAAACAAAATTTTTCTTGAAAGGCACATATAATTTTTACAATGCTCTCAGAAAGTAAAATGATTGAAAAAAATCAAATGCAAGGCAAGAAAAAGATTCAATCTTCAAGCCTCATGACTGTCAAGAGTCCTTTCCATAATTGGTCCATTCTAAGTCACATATTCTCTCAGAAATCCAATGGTTCACTTTTCTCACATTCTTCCTCAGTTACTCTTGTGTCACCTAATGATAACTCTGACAAAGTGGTTATCAATGTGCATCTAATATAAAAGGAAATCATATTTGTGTTCAGGATGGAATTTTATCACATGGCTCTAATTGTGCAGTACTTTCACTATTTGGTAAAGCATGATGACATGTTGATGGTGGACTAAAGTCATTATTATTTCTGACCTCTGCCTGTCATCAGTTTGTATGAAGATATTTTTGATATGGTGAAGCATCAGCAGAGTGATCAGGGGAGAACCAGAATCTAATTTGGCATGAACCTAATAGGTTACATGATTTAAAGTGATGAAAAATGGACAGGAGGGGCAGAATACAAGGTAGGAAGGAAGACATGGAATTGGGTGTCTGACATAGCCCTCTTTTTAAATCCTTTTATTTTATGGCCTCCATTGTGTGTTTATTCACCCTTTCTTCCATGGTTAACCTTTTCCACTCGAATTTTTTTTCATGTGTTTTCTCTGGTAGCTCGTATTTTTTACCACATAAAACGAAAAAATGAAAAAACGTAATTTTTTCCAGTGCAGCAAGGTGCAGCAAGGTGACCCACCTGAGTGAATGAAGAGACTTTTAATCTGTGGTATACTATACTGCACCAAATGAGTGCAAGAGTCAAAGTACCAATGGGTGAGTATACTCGCCCATTCGAGTGGAAAAGGTTAATACTCCCCTGTGTCTTTCTCAAGATTGATATCCTGATGCTATAGGCTTCTTGAGTCTAAGAAATCTAAAGGAAAGAACAAGTGGGGGAAGGAAAGAGGATATTCATGCACTAATCAGTGTCGATGAAAGTTAGCTTTTACCCCTCCCATAGTCTGACCATTCCCCCCCCCCCCCAAAATGAGTATGTATGCTCTTTATTTATTTATATTTTGGCACATTTATCACTTGACTGATACTCCAATAGAGTATCAGTCAAGTTTTGAGCATTTTAGCAAGCAGAGAAGTTTATCATTGACACAATATTGATGCTGTGAATAGTCAGAAACTTGGTGCAGCTTCTTGCAAACCATCCATTGCAAGTATGACAAGTGTAGATCTACTGAACTTTCTGTGTTTGTGCCTGCTTTTCCATGAGCCATATTGATCAGAAATTGATAATCACTGAGGGAAATTCATATTATCCATTATATTTTCCATTTGGGGAAGTGCACCTCTATGAAAGTAATTGGACTCTTTTGATGAAATTGAAGTAAAATGATGATCTTAACCATTCTGTTGCTGGGGAGTCCTGGCAGTATCCCAAGTTAAAATTTCTATCTTGAAATTTTATCTCAGCTTGTAATCCTTTATTAGGTATGAGACTACTGGATGTTACCAGTGTAAAGTTATTTTTTTGCATCAATGGGGCTGGGGTACTTCAAGTACCTCCCCTCAGTAAAAACTGATCACTGTAGGTCTCTGTACCAAAAGGGTCAAGTTGAGTTATCCATTGACAGCTGAGACTGCTCAAGGTAGACATACTGTATATTCAAGGCACCAAATACGTAGTGCTAGAAAATTTTGTTTTTACAAATTGATGCCAGAAACCATAATATTACATTTTTTAAACCCATATTGTTCTGCAGTCACTGGGCATGATTGTGTTAAGGACTTTTATATTTTTGACCATAGACTTTCTTTTGGTTAGTGATAGTTGATTATCTATGTTGATATGCATGCAAATGAGTTATGGTTTAGTGCTTCCACAGATTCAAAACCCTGGTATACTTTCAGGATTATATTAGAATATTATGGCAATCACTGCAACTGGCCACACTTCACATTGATGTGGCTGGCATGAGCATTCCTCTCATGCCCTGTCCTGAACATTGCTAATATGAAGCTGATATGTCCATTTGAAACCAAGTTTGGAAACTTCAAAGATTCAATCATTTGATGCATTGCAAAATTCTTAACTCCATCCCATAAGTATTCATGTTGTAAATGCTCCTCTGTAAACTGTGGAGCCACAGACATGAGGAATATGTGCTGCACATGTTCCTCATCTCACCCATGCACTAATGCCAATTGTCCACATTGGAATATATTGTCAGGTCAGCAAAAATTGTCCAATGTGTGATCTCCAATAAGAATCAATCAAGTACTTTTTGTGGCTTATTTTACTTCCTAATATGTGTAGTCTTGATTGTCACTCTTTTTGAGAGAACAGTTAAAGGAAATAATGTGGACTTGGGTTTGGACTTGCTGCATCTGGATCCAGGAAAAGCAATTGAAGTAGAAGTTCATCTCAAGAAAAACTATGCAGCATTTCCAAAAATGGTTGAATCTTACGTGTATGAGTCAGAAGTTAAAAAAAAAATATATTTTGCCCTTGTAGTTAAGTTCATGGTGATGAGACAAGAATAGAGGTTAAGAGAGGTCATCACTGTATGTGAAGCAGAAAAGGAAGCAGGTTCTGCTTTTTTGGAAATCATCCAAATCTCATCAGTGTGTGTGGCCATAAATGGGAGAGATGCAATGCAGTTGCTCTCTTTGTATCACTTCAAGGGTGGATGTTCCTGTCATCAAAACTCCCAACAGGGACATGACTTGTGTGGAGGGATGTTGGAAAGAAGGATGGTTTTTGTCATCAGTGCATCATGAGGGTCAAGTGAGAGTGAGTCATTATGTGAGACCTTATGTGTGGTACTGTTGTGGGATAATTTTAAGGAGGGATCTGCAAAGTGTTTTGACCATGACAATTCGTCATTAAGAGCATATGAACCAGACTGGTCACTTATTATTGTGGAATGCATACACATACCAATCTCCTTTCCATTCTTCTTCTGTCATATTTTCTATTTGTTTTAGTCCTGTCACTTTCTCACTGAACTGCATGGCTGAACCCTTGAAATTTACCTGCCTTGGACCAAACTTGCACCTATCCTCCACTTGAAGAGCATGCTAATTGTAATGAGAAAAAAAGGAATACTTAAAATATTCTGTCCACTGTCCCATTTGTGAACTCTTGTCACAACAATGAAATCCAGAAGCTCAATAATTATCACCCTGTACCTTGTCCAAATCATGGTGGCACACAGCTTATGCTTTTCCTGAACACAGCATGTTGGACAGTCTGATTATAGTAACCATTTGAATTGACCCAGCAAAACTTTCTTGTTGCCCCATATTAGACTGGTATTCTTATTAGTGCACTTCCTTTCTTATGCCTGTCAATGTGTAACTTTTGATGATTCATTATGAATCTTACAAGGGAGTAGCATTGGGAAAACATCAAGAGAACCCATGACAACACTGGGATAAAAGAAGTCTCTGGATGCATTCAATGGGATTATTGGACTCCAGCTAAAAAAGGTTCTGTCAGAGCAAAACTGACAGTTTGAGGAAGTTAAGTTCCCATTAAAATACCTTGACAGCCTTCTGAAAGTTGTAATGGATATCTTGGAGTTCTGATTGCTCACTGGTGGAACTCTAGAAAAGAATCAGTTATTGTTACCACCAGGTTTGATGAAGCCTTCATACCACATGTTAGGGTTGGTGCTGTTTCATACTGTATACTTCCTGTGGTTTCCTATTCCTTCAAGTGCACTATCACAAGGATTGGGGATAGAAGGATAAAGTTATTCTTGAATGTTTTTATTCTTATTTTTGGAATATGCGTTCTTCATCACACTATAAAATTAATTATTGATGCTATATTTTAGTTTCAATTTGAGCCTTATCAGGTACCAGTTCTTAACCTTCTCAGTCCTGAGTTAAAATATATAAATGATGTGAAAACAAGTTTTCCCCATCAAACTGTCCACAATGAAATGTCATTTACAACAAAAATACAAATTCGAAAGAGGTCATAGGAAATCACATCCCACTAGGTCTATAGGTCATACATTTCTATGTAACCCTGCAAAATATAAAGTGTGGGACACCTGAGTCCCACCAGGACTGAAAGGGTTAACCGAGGTTTTAAGAGGGAAAGAATATGGCTAAGGCTAAGGATCTTGCAGAAAGAGTGTGAAGGAGACAGAGACAGGTAAAATGATAATTCTGATGACAATATGAATTCTTCTTCAGTGAATGCATTGGAGAAGCCATGGGAAGTTGAGGCCATGGATTGTGAAGAAGTGGGGGAATACAGAGAAGTGTGTCAAGACTGGCCCCTGTGCAAACTTGGCAGGGAGTGTAGTTTTGCTCATCCTGAGGTTCTGTGCAAGTAAGTTATTGTTGATTGGCAGGGACATTATTGATGTCATGGCATTTTCAGTCTAAAAATATGGCTGTCTTTTTTTCCAGAGCCTTCCCAAATTGTGAGCTTGGGAATCAGTGCACATTTGTTCATCCCAAGTGCTGCTTTGATGCTGCCTGCACACAACCAGACTGTGTGTTTTCTCATTCGGTTCCCATGTTACCTTTGGATGATTCATTGACAGCCACAACAGACTTTCCCTGGCAATTTCAACATCCAGAACTCACCAAGTGGATTTATTTCACAGAATCTCAGAGCCTCTACCTGGAGAAACATTATGCTGATCCAAACATTGATAGGATCACTCTAAAAGACTTTGGAGTTCCTGGCGATGGTGATTCAAGGAACTGCATGGAGATCCTGCATTCATTCAGGGATTCTGAGTGGGAGGTTGAGTTCATTATGATGATGCTTTACTCTGTGCAGAGCAACCTTCAGATGAAGATTAGAAGAATTGGGACAAAATCAGCAGCCATGAATGGAAATGAATGGAAAGTGCTTACTACTGTGTGAGTTAATATCCATTGAATTATTCAATCAAATCTAATCCTTGACTTTCCTCTTGAGTGAGCTGGTGGTAATCTGGTGAGAAAATTATGTTATTTAATGTTAATTGGCTAGAGATGATATTGTGCTCACCTGTGAAACTGCCCAGTCTGCACAATTTGACTGAATGCTGATAGGTTGATTATGTTGATGGGATGTTGATCCTGATGATCTGATGCATAGTCAGCTTTGACTTAATGCTGAAAGTGGCAACATTTGCAATGACATGGAATTCACATTGCACATCAGTTAAATACTCAATGTTCTGTTAACGTGACATCAACGGATATCAAACAAGACATCTAACAGTTATTTGAATAAGCAAGGTTCATTGAGCAAATCACCAATGCAACAAGTTACTTTGTGTATGTTACTGGCATAATTCCTCAGTATTTGGCATAATTCCCCAGTGTTTTTCAAACTGTACTCGGTCATTTCTCCTAAGACAACACTATGAAGGTATTGGAGTTCTGCAAAGCATTTGACGGAAGAGACAAGCTAAAATGAGACCCAGGGTAATTTTGAATCCAAGAATGGAGTGAGGAAAGTCCATGTGGTCATTGACTCAATGGGACAACCCACCCCAGCCAGGGAGAGACATTCTAAATCTAGTCCTCTTGGTCATACAGCAGGCTCTATAATAGTTGTCAGCAACAGGCAGTACATAGGCCAGATCTGACCCATGGAAGCCCTCCTTCTAGCCCACAAAGACTTGGCTATTACATATTACAGTCAGACAGTAGACATTCAGTTGTACATTTGACATTGGATTTCCTTTAAAATTTTCATTTTAACACGTTGACAACCAGCCTATTTTTGCTTGTCTGCCGCGTGGGACCACGCGCATTTTTTTTTGTCAAAAAATGCGACCTGCCATCAGGACGCATGGTCCCAGAAAACATTTTTTTTGCCGAGTTTTTTTTAAAATGTTGAATTTTTTGGAATTTTTATCAGTAATTACGAAATCATAATCTTCTGGAACGTTCTCAACAGTTCCAGAGGGTATTCATTGAAAAAAAATCTGCATCTTGGCATCAGGACGCATNGAGTTTTTTTAAAATGTTGAATTTTTTGGAATTTTTATCAGTAATTACGAAATCATAATCTTCTGGAACGTTCTCAACAGTTCCAGAGGGTATTCATTGAAAAAAAATCTGCATCTTGGCATCAGGACGCATTGTCGCCAACGTGTTAATGAAACTTGATGGGTGTTGGCTTGCAAACAAGCATCATTCTGCCATCCAGCCCCTCATGAAATTCAGTTGCTGAACTATGTATTCATATGCAGCCACCTCTTCATTGGCTGCTAATTGATGTATTGTCCTCTTGCTTCCATGGGATTGAGATGCCCCTCTCTGTCAACATTGAATCAATGACCATAGCTTGAGTAAATACCCTGAGATCATGCTGATATAATACCAACTCACTGTTCACTGCACCTCTGTATTGTTGAGCCCTGTCTCATTTGAAAGCCAATGTACAGGGTGTTCCATGTGTCCCTTGACACCCCCCCCCCCAATTTTTTTTTCTTGTTTCAGGTGAATTATGGTTAGGATTTGTGTAAATGAGTGACCAAGGCTCTTTTACACTAAAGCATGAATTTTGGAACATTTAGTGATGAATTTTTGGGAGCATTAGCAACAACAAAGTGAGAAAAACATGACACATTTGTTTGTGGCCTTTTGAGCCAGATTGGGCAAAAATCCTCTATAAAACAACTTATTGCAACTGGCACCTCATCATTCTGGTTTCAAAAAAATAATTACACTCATACTGATCCCCTTGATCTCCAATTGATCCCCAGTTTCTCATATGAGGGTTATTAAATGTTAATATGAATGTTTTTTCAAATGTCATATGTTTCATTTTTCTGCCACTATTCTTCACTATTATTCACAAGAAAAAAAGGGGGGGTGTCAAGGGACTTATGGAACACCCTGTAGATTCAGCATTGGAGCATCGAATTGATCAATGCTCTTTAACAGGTTGACAGCCACAAGGCGCACCAGTGCGCCTCACTGAATGGGAAAATCAATAGGCCAGCGCGGTTATGGCGGTCAACATGTTAAGATTGCTGCAGTACTTTTTATTATTGGGGCAATATTGTTTTGCAGTCTGGGTTTTGAGAATTTCTTTGGATGTTATGGCTGATTTGCATTTAAAAGAAAATCCAAGTTCATTGCATTATTATTGGTGCAAGCTGAAGTTGACCATTCTAGTTTATACCAGGATGTTGTGGTGATAGGGAATGATTTAAAATACAGTGTGCTGCAGAATCTAGTAATCAATGAGATTGTCATCCAATGCATCTTCCTTCATTGTCATTGATAACTGAGAGATGATAAAATGATGTAACTCATAAAAAATAAGCTTTTAGATGTCATTTTGCCGTGTAGGTCAGTGTCAAAATCTAATTTTACATGGTAAACATATTGCATACCTGTAAATGAAAATACAGGGATCACTTTTAGCTGTGACTAAAATTGATCACTGTATTTTCATCGATTTCTGAATTACGAGATTCCCTATACTTTCACCAGTGCTATCTAAACTAGAAGTAAAAAGTTTACATGGTGATGTACCTTAACAAATGCTTTTTGCTTTGCATTGAAGAAAAAAGTATATGTATGTTTCACATGTTCATATAAAGCTTTTTTCCCAAGATATCTGAATGTGACAATGATAGCTCCTGTGTAGGAAAACCAACTATAGAATATAGGGCAGAATAATGCTAGTATCAACTATTGAAGTGGAACATATTATTTTGATATGTGTAATAGTCCTTCCTGAGAATTCTAGATTATGTAAGCAGCACTGGAGTGTCAGTAGTGGTGTCACATCTGATACTGTTAAGTCAGTAATTTATTATAAAGATGGTGCTTTATACATCAGTGTCATATCTACCATATGTATTCACTAGTTTCAAATCTATTAAGGTGTTATGTTCATATATTTTTTAATAATTTATTTAAATTTTAGAAGATTTAAATATATGTTTATTTAGACAAAGGCTGCTGATTGAATTGCTAGTTAAACTCCCCTGTATCAGCATGTAGACAAGTCTAGATTACAATAACGTTTCTGAGGATACACCAATATTAGGGTAGCCTCATAGATTCTGTTGTGGATGAATATAACATTGTCATTTATTTTCCATGATTCATACAGATGGCTATGGTACTTCAAGGACCAGACAGGTGCATGGGTGGAGTATGGCTCTTCAACTGGGGGAGTGTTGAGTAGTTCTGGTAGAGTGTTGAGTTCATGCAAGATCCAGAGTAATGTTGCATCTCAAGATATTGAGAGAGCATATCTTGCTTCTCAGGGGAAAGGGACACTGCTCTTTCATACTGATCACCATCCATATGAGCTTGACTTTCAAAGGATGGTGCAGAAGAACACAAATGTAAGATTTAGCTGATATTGCTTGTTCAGAAATTATGTTAAGTAGTTATATTCACAATCAAGGTGACGTCATACTCATAGGTGTATAGATATTGTTCAGTGAGGCTTAATGTTCAATATACCCAAAATGAGTTGATGAAATTACCATAATCTCAGGTAAGACTATTATTCCAGTCAATTCACATGCACCTGCTTAGCAAAACTCAGTTGGATATTCTGGATTTTGTATGATTTGTGATGTGGATTGTACATTGCCGGTATCTTCATCTGTTTCAGATTAAATATGGTACAGAGAGAGAAGTGAAACGTCGTCCTGCCCCACCAACTTCCTCCATACTATCTGAAGTTCCTCTTGAAGGCTTCAGACACACCCCAAAGCATTGGCTTCCTATGCATGACCCATCCAGCAAGTTCCGTTTGGTAACCTTGTCTCCCACTTCACAAGAGCACATGGATGTTGTTAGCCTCTTTCAAGAAACTGGGGTAGGCATTCAGAAAGTTATCAGAGTCCAGAACCCATACCTTTGGGAGGTAATAGTCTCGTTCTTCGACTAGAACGAGTCATGTCTAAAGTTTTTACTAGGAAGATACGACTTACTCTTTAAAGAGAAAGTACCCTGTTATCGATGGTTGTATGGACGGTATACACTCGTCTTGAAACACTGGAGGCTGCATGGAACTTCTCATGCATCATTATATGGCCAGGGGGTATACTTTGCCACTGACCCAAAGTTGTCCATGATCATACGTTCTCCACCCTCAACGTACAAACAACGATTCCAAGAATAACCGAACTGGTGAGACCCTACACGACGGTACTGTTCCGGAGGGAACCCAATAGTAAGATGTACACCCGGATTATACTAATACAAGTATCATGATCAAGACTTCTACCCTGCATATCTTGTTGAGTATTGATGATGCAAGTGAACTAATATTAGCTGTGTCAGTCTTGAGAAATTTCCTTTTGGGATGATGAGAAAAGAGTTTCTGCTCTTCCTGCTCAAATAATTTTTCTTATGTTTGACAAGACATGTTTAAAAAAAAAAGCCTCAACCATTCATGTGTCAACTCCATCTTCTCTATTATATGTTATAAATATCTAATATATATTGAATATGCTACTGGCATTGCATCATGAAAGTTCTTCACTCAGGATTAGAAAGAAACTTTTTCACAGGTGTGAAGAGTTTCATTTTCTGATTTTTTTCTCTCAGTATTATTGATACTTCTGTATGCTGGGCATTCATCATTGGTGTAGTTTTGTCTTGGAAGGATGTTGAAAAAGTCTCTGCTATATAGTGATCATATATGTGCAATATGGATCAAGGGAAATCAATCTCAGAATTCTCTTGAAAATGTTATGCTTCTTCAAGTTCTTGTTTGCTTGCCTGTTTCTGCAATGTGCATGATATGCGAAGTATTGATGGAATCACAAAATGTATTTCTCCCTCTATCCTTCCTTCTGGTTAACTGCAAGAAAGGACATTTAAAAATTGTATTTCACATGAATGTGATTACTTTAACATTATGGTGAATATTTATTTTAAAATTATTTCTATGTTTTTATATCATTAGTAGAGATGAAAGTTTTCTTATTGAAGGCATACTTTTTTAATTATATGAAGAAATGTGTATTATGCACTTCTAATTTTAAATATATATATATATATTTTGCTGCTATGGCTTGAGTTGCACTGTATTGCCTGAGCTACCAGTCTTACCAGTTCTATGCTTAGCTACTTGCTCAGAACTTTTTACTTATGACTTGATCATTAACCCAAGATGTAGCAGAATGCACCTCAATATGCTGAAATAATGAAAAAGTTGATATATCTTTCAAAGCAAACTGCACTCACGATCAGAAGTGCAAAAAATCTTAAAAGGTGAAAGTTTCTCCTTAAAAGCACTTCCCAGTTAAGGGGATAAAATAAAATAGGAGGAAGAATTAAGGCTTGCTTTAGCTGTTGGACTTCAGCAGTACAGTTGTTTGGTACATGGCTGGGAGAAAAGAGGTTAAGAACTTGCATGATAATCATGATACGTAAAGGAGAAGGATGATAAATCATGGTCTTCTTGCACATGCACAGCATCATGCTTGCTCACATTATTATTAAATTGTGTGCAGCTAAAATCAGCCCTAGGTGTCATCAGATTCTTTGCATCTTTCCTGGGGGAATCCATTCAAGTCTTTAACAATCCTGCATTACTACATTGATCTCTCCGAGTTTGACTGCAACTAGCCACATTCTCATTGAAATGTGGTTGGCATGGGGTTTCATGCCCTGTCCTTTCATGAGCAGGGTTTGATCATTGGTCATAGTGCTTAGTATGAGTCATTCCCCAGCATTACTACTTTGTCCCCTTTGTGAAGGTGCAGAAAATCAAGTTAAAGCTTTAACCCTTTCTGATCCATTTTTTTTGTAATAAAATGGATCAGAAAGGATTTTATTTGTAATGCTATGGAGATTGTTGGACTATGTCCACCAGTGTACCACAAAGGGTTAAAGTTTGATGGACCTTGAGCCTCAGTTGTCTTAACATTATTTTTATCAGGAAAAGTAGATAATGCAAGTTTGATACATGAAGTTGGACTGTATTTTATTTTAGAAAAGGAAAACCCCAGACTTGCTACACTATTGAATGAGCCTCATCCCAGTTGTTACTAATCAATCATATAGCTCTTTGCCCAGGGCTGCTCAGAGGTTTTCAGGGCCCTGGGGCAAAACTAAACCAGAGACCCCCTTGGGTCCCCTTAATATGTGGGGCCCGGGGCAGATTGCCCACTTTCCCCCCCCCCCCCTCCTCCTCCTCCTCTGGGCGGCCCTGCCTTTGCCACCCCCATGGTGGGTGGCCATAATGACATAAATAAATAACTCATTCGCATATACAAGCATACTGGTATGCACATGCACTCCCAGTCACAATCACCATAAGAATACTGGTATGTATTAGTGTTGTCCAGCTCTTCTTGATGTCATGCAATGTGGCTGGCTATTGATTAATGATGATTGAACTATTGATGAGATTGCAAGGGATGGGTCCATCTCAAAGCAATGTTCTCAATTTTCCATGATTGTTTGCAAATGCTTGAAATCTACACAAGACAGATTCGCAATGCCCTCACGTCTGCACATAAGATGGAGTGGGATGATTCAATTTCTTTTCCGGTCAGGAAATTCGAAGCTTGGCAGAATGAGGCATGCAAAAACAGTGCCAGTAGTGGTGAGACTTGGGTTCGTCTATGAGCCCTTGCAGAAAAGATTATGGCATGGTGTTGGTGGGAAAAGGTGATCATACTCAATCATTTGCATGGTGCCAGACAAGTTCGGATAAGGTTTTACACACTATCTTTATCAAGTAAAAGGAGCCTTTGGTATATCGTGAGGCAAAAAAATCGCGACGCTTTTTGAGATTCTTTGGAGTTCATGAGATAGCAGATAGCGCGTCAAAAAAATTGTTGCAGCGACTTTTACGTGTTCCTTAAACGTTCTAAAATTCTTTTGCATTTTTCTCCAGCCGTTTTAGCCAGGGAAGATGGGGCTAGGGGCAAAACGGAGCAACTCAGATTTTAACGAAGTCATACCCGTTATCTATGGGATATTTACTGTACTAGGGAGCGGATTTTTATGGAAATGCATATATTTTCTGCAGCCACCTAGGAACATACAACCCAGGTAGTATCATGGTACTTTGGTAGAGGAGACGATTTCTGCCATTTAAAAACGCATAAAAATGCATATTTTTAGGTTTTTCTCAGCATGTGCATATTTATGCATATTTTGCCTTTTTTTTGAGAAAAATAGGGGTATTTCAGAAAATGTGTTTTTTTTTATGAGTTACCAATGAATATTTTCGAGCGGCTATGTGCTGTGATCAGTAACGTTGCGACGGGGGGGGGGGAGTTTGGGGTGGCGAAGCCCCATTACTCTACCCCAAATCCATCCGCTACTCTCGAGAAGTTTAGGAAATCCTGGCCTCCGTTCGTTTCCCTTAGCCCTCCATTGGCGAGTTCCTGGCTTTACTGCTGGCTGTGACAGTAATAGATCAACTATACCCAATTGGGTAAGACCACCTTAGTTCGGACACAATTGAAAACATTGTTATTAAACTAAGCGTTCGCGAGGCCGCCTTCAAAAAGGTTCTTCCTAACATGAGATGAACACGTCACTGAGAGGAGGAAAAGCGGTGGTCATGATGACTTTGCACAATTCTAAGATATTGGGCTTAGATCAATGCTATATCTCGAACAGGAGGAATTCTTCAAGGAACCGTAAGGAGAGAACCTTACTTTTAAAACGTTTCGCATGTGACGTTGTTTTCTGCACTCAATTCTTACTTCCCAGGAAACTAGGACATGGAGTCCTGTTACACAGAATGCACGTGCATTGATCAGATTACGTCCTACTTTCGGTGTGACCGAACTTAGGTGAAGAAATGTATGAGAAACTTAAGTTCAGAAATACATTCACTTATGTCATATCTTCGTAAATATGATGTCCTCTTGAGATAAAGAACGTTTAGAATTGACAAAAGCTCAGTTGCGGCATGTTTTCAGAGAAAGTGTATTTTGGAGCTCTGTCCGAACTTTCCTAATGGGACATGTAACTTCGGACACCGTCGAGCACATGCCCAAAAAGTACAAAATCATATATTTCTTTGCGCACCTAAGTGTGCAACGTGCCTCCAAAGCAGTGCAATCATGTTGTGAGGTTGGAATGCAAGGGATTATCGATCCGAGGGTGTTGAAAAGCCATTAGGGCTTTAATTCGGGTGGGGTGCCCTTCCGGAAGGCGAACATTGCTCACGATAAACGCATCTGCTAGATATATTTTATTCTAGGAGTTCTACCCCCAAATTCAGAGCGGGAATATTTCCCTGAAGTTGGATGTTTTATGAATTAAGCATGCAGTGGAATACTTGTATACTGAATGTAACGAACTGTGCCTGCCCGGTCTGCTTTTAAAAAAGAAATTCCGAAAACATAACCCTAATGAAAAGTGTGCACCCAAGGGATTTACAAGAGTAGGATTTTTCCAGAAATAAGCGACTATAGAGCAACCTAGTTACCAAATTCCAGATTTTTATATCCGTCACAGCCCGATTCAATGTAGCAAAATATATTTTAAAATATGGCTCCCCCCAAATGTTCCCTCAGGAGATATATCCCAAAAGTTGGATTTTCCCTAATGTCTGTACACCAGAAGGTGCCTATTAAGTAAGATTTCTGAGCCTTCTGCCTCCATGACTCCCTGGAAAAAAAAAAAATTTGGAGAACGTCCTCCCGAAGAATATTCCCCTGGGAACAAATAATAAAAGTGTCTTATTCCTCCCTGAAATCTTATCTCAATAGGTACCGATGCACCAAGTTTCAGCTTCCATGTCTCTCCGTTTCCTTGGAGCAAAAAAAATTATGGAGAAATGTCTTTCTTAGAAATATTACCTGAAATCCGCACCATCAGAGTTATTCGTATATCAAGTTC